TGTCGGAGGAGGACTACTGCTCCCAGTCCAACAACTTTGCTCACTCCTTCTACCCCATGCTTAGCTATACTAATGGACCACCTCCAGTGTAGGCTGCCCTTTAATATAGTATCCTAGCCTAATCTGTGTGAGGATGTCATGTTGATGTCCTCTTCACATGGAGAGCAGAGATTAAGAATGATCATCAAACTGCAAATGACCATCCCATCATTATGTGTTTGTCTGCAGCACATACATAGGCTCCAGCTCTGATGTGGACAATGACCTTAAAAAGCTGTATTTTATCTGAAGGAAATGCTCTCAGTGGATTTTACCAAAGTGAATTCTCAAAATAGACCCTGTGACGTTGCTCGTGAGTGGAGACTTTGTCAAAGAGAAATAATTTCAACAATAATTTACACGGATGAGGATAAGAGCCACTTGGAATTTTTAACATTTTCTCTATTCATTTTTGACTTTGTGTGATTTGAGTCAAAATTAATCATAAAACTTTAATCTTAAAATCCGGAAAAAAACAAAGAACTTTGACATTGATCGTAATTTGCAAGGTGAAATATTTTTCTCTTACTTTTCTTTTCTAATTCTAAAATTCTAAAAAAAAGTTTTGTCATCTGAATTCAATGATTTGTAAATAAAATATAAATTCAGAGAGAAAGAAAAGAGAGAATTAATTCTTACAATCTGATTTTGGTCTTAGAATTTGGCGTAAAACCCTGACTTTTGACCCTAAAAAAGTCCCATGTGACCCACATCCTCCTCCTCACTTTTTGACATTTATCTTTGTCTTGTCAGCATGTGTTTATATTCCAAGTAGTTATATTTTAACTTCTTCATGCCTATTGTTTTTTTTTTTACTATGATTCACGTTGATGTAAGATTCATGAAGCCAAACTTGTGTGTGTTTTAATATCACTGTCAGCACTGTCACATCAATTGTATTTGTACGCTCTAATGATTTTATTTTTCAAGCAAACGAGATGATATTTAACGCAGGAAAATTGTGACATATAGAAAGAAATCACTGTATATTTTGTATGACTGTCACTTCAGTATCAAATGTATAACAGTGCAAAATTATATGTATATGTATATACTGGTGAAACATATTGAGAAATGTATGTATATGCGACCATGGAAAACAAAGAATGCCAAATACTTATTTTAAAACTTGTGTTTTCATTTATGTCTTTGTATTTGTTAAATAGTCCGACCTAATGTGTTTTTTATTTTAATCGTAAAACCCCGTGGTTTTATTTGTAGTCTTCTTGAAGGGGAACAGCCTCCACTGGACGATCAGATGCTGAGGTAGAAACGTCCAGGGAGGAGCGTTCAGAAGGATCCTGGATTTGGTGGAGGTGATGATGATGAAGAGGAGGAGCTCTCAGGTGAGTTGGACAAAGCCAGGGCTCATTCACGTGGTGATGGTGAAGGTAATGGTGGTGATGGTGATGAGCATGAATGAGCATCTCCAGGAATTTGATGATTTCATTGTTGGTTAGAGCGAAAGCTGTGGGATCCAAACCCAGCATCCTGGAAACCACCATTCGGAAATCTTCCAACTGAAACATTTAAATGAAAACTGTTCACACACTTTTAACACTAAAGTTGTAATAATTGTATTTAGGTAATAATTTGCTGTATAACAAATACCTTTGCTAAATTAGTAACACATCACTACTTTTTAGTACAGCTGAAAGTACATATGATGTGATTTTTCACAGGTGGATATATAGCAACTAACCATGATTAATTTCAGGATTAAAGCCAAGTGAAACATTCACTTTCACAGTCAAGTCAACAGCCTTACTTCTCTCTCCTTGATGGTCATCTCAGTCAGGCTGTGTCTGAGCGTACTGAGCTGCTGCTGGTCGTCTCTGCTCTGTTTCTCTCTGCTCTGTAGATCTGAGCTGATTGAACTCAGCTTCTTCTCCACCTTAGCCTTCCCCTCCGCCACCTGCTCCAGCTTCTTTTTCTGCTCCTGCATGGTCTGACTCTGTTCCATCACTTTCAACTTGGCGTGTCAGACAGAGGTGTCAAGGAAAACAGCTCATATTCAGTGACGTCAATTTAATTAAAATACTACGTAGGACCTACAGTTACATGATGCACATTCACACCACACTACTATGAGACGGACATGCCTCTGGAACGGCTCTGAGGCCGGACCCTTGTCCCCTCTACCTTCAGCTCATCAGTGAGGCACAGCTGGGTCCTGAGGTCAGTGTTGGACTGCTTGGTGACCCTCAGCTCGCTCTGAAGACGATCCAGCTTTCTCTGCAGCCTCTTGGCCTCTACATGAGCTTCGTCTCGTCCCATCTGTGACTGACACCTCTTCTCCTCCTCCAGCTCTGTCACCTTCTTCCTCAGGAACTGGATCTGGAGTCCTTTGCTGTCCAATTGATCTTTCTGGGATTTTAACTGGGGTAAAGCGGGTAATTACAATCACAGCTTTATTAATGACTCTGTCATATGTATTTTCTAACATCATTGAATGTATGAGTAGTTGAAAAACAGGATGACATGTTTTTCTCAAACATGTCAAAACCTTTAACGTCTGAAAACCCACATCCCAAGATCAAATTAAACTTCTATAAACTACCTTCTAGAAGCCAGCAGTAACCACCACTCTGTTGTTTACCTTTCTTTGCAAACTGTATGTCAGACTCTTGCTCTCCACCAAAGCAGCTCCCTCTCTTTTAACGAGTTGCTCGGCACGTGACAGGATGAGTTTGAGCCTCATGTCAAAGCCGAGATCAAGAGCAAAACTGTCCACCGTCAACGTGTCCGACAGCTGGTCCAGGAACTCTTCATACTGAAAGAACACTTGTTGTCATAGACACATCACTCTGGACTTTGTTTTCGTACTGCGTTGTCACTCACCTGTTGTTTGCTGTGTCTCAGTCCATCTCGATGCTTATCTGCTGTCATGAGGTCAGTCTCCAGGTCTTGCAACCTCTCCTTCAGGGTTTGAACTTGCTGCTCTGCGTGCTGTGCCCTGTGTAATGCGCATTGATGGAGCTCTGTCTGCTGGCTCAGCTCCTCAGAGACATGACCCAGTCTGACCTTCATCTCTGACATGGTCTGTAAGAAGGTGGCTATTAAAAGGACTCATTGTGTTTGTACAACGTACAGATGTGCAATTTTTTTTAGCTTCCAGTTTTAAAAAAAATGTGAAAAATAATAAAAAATTAAAATTAAACACAATAATTCCTCACTGTATCCAGTTTCTGAAGAATATCTTTCTCCGTAGGTGGGATGACACTTCCTGACTTGGCTGACATTAGGTCAGACACCTTTTTTAGGAACATCTGTAGTTTGTCTTCAGCTGCTCGAGTCTCTCCTTGGCTGGACACAAGCTTTCTTTCCAGCTCCTCCACCTGCTTCTCCAGACAGTTTGACTCTTTCTTCGCTGCCTCTGTCACTCTTTTAGTGGCCTCCAGCCTTTCCATCAGTGTTTCTTTGTCCATTTCGACACTCTTCCTGCCCACAGACAAGTCATCTAACTCCTGCACCAGAGGAAAACATAATACTGACAGTCAAATGCTGCTGCGCATAGATACGTTTTTACAAATAATCAGATTTGAGTCATTTCCATATACTGTCTTGAAAACTTTTGTATTACATTCAACTGATAACATTGATTGAATATATTTTCTTTTTCTGTAACATTTGGCAACTCTATTGAAGCCAACTTGGGCTTCCATATTTCAGCTGAGAATTACTGGTGTTTGTACCACTTTCAGTAAGTCCAGTGCAGCCGTGCTGCTGGTGGCCTTCTTCCTCTCTCGGTCCAATTCTGCCACCAGCCTCAGCACCATCTCTCTGCTGGCTTTACACTCCATCTCTGCAGACTTCACACTCTCCTCCAACACAGCTATTCTCATCCTCATCCTCTCCTTCTCATTAGACTGGTGCATCTATTACATAAAAGACAAAAAAATATATACAGCCTCACAAAGGAAAATGTTACAGTAGACTCATTGGAAATTTCAAATGGTTGTTACTTAAATATTTTAAGTAAATTCATTTTTTTCTGTTGTGGTTTAACTAATTTCCTATGTAAAGCATACTCTACCTCTTCGGAGTTTTCCATAACTCCCAAACTTGATGAGTTGCTGAACCAAGTGTTACTGTTACAGAAATCTCCTGGCAACACCAAACACTGGCTTTAACTTTCACCACCAGAGGGAGTGCTGTACCTAAGTACTTCTTAAAGCTGAAACCTTTGGTTTATTTCTTAGTAAAAACAACAAACTGATCTTTTAGATTTATTATCAGGATTATTCATATTTAATAGGTCACATATTGAACAAACAAACAAACAAACAGCTGAATTATTGGAAGATATTAGTAGACGTTCATGTGAAGGTCAAACTTCTAGTCATTCATTTTTGTTTGGCCGTGTTGCTTGACTTGCAGGCGACGTGCAACTCATAATGCGCAAAAATGAATTGCTGTATGTTCTTTTCAATAATGTGCGTCAAATCTGTGTTATATTTGCTCATTATTGCGATTACGTGCACGCTATCTGCAATATTTCTACATGGTATAAATAAAAGAAAGATTACCCATTTTCTTTAATTGAATTGAATTACTTTTTAAGGGCCAAACTTTAACTATTTTACTTTAAAAAAATAATTCTCTATAAAATAACGTGATAAGCAGTTGTGCTCGATTTATTTATAATAATACGATGTCTCTAGTCTTAACTTTATTATATATGAATGAATATGGTTATACAAAAAGGGAGACAAAACGTGTTTTGCCAATATTGGCCTAAAGGATACATTTGAGTTATATGCATATATATATATATATATATATATACACGTATATATATTAGGTAATATCAGTTTACTGATAGCACAATAGTACACATAGTAAAGACGAAATTTGTATAAAATTAACAAACGCCATTGAAGTGCACTCTGTAATAGCGAATAACGCCTGTCAAACCACGTCGAGGGCTAAACGAGTCAACGCATTGCGTCACATCCGGATTTCAAGCAGGAAGTAAGCAGCACTCAAGCTATGTTAACAAACACACCTCCTGCCCTTCCAATGGTCATGCTCTAACGACTAATATCAAATTGTAATTCAAGTTTTTAACAAACCGACGCATCCCGACCATTCAGAAATGTACCATGTTATGAGAAATGGAGTTTTAATTTGCGCGAGGTAAGACAGCAGCTATAGCTACATGTCACTGGTCAAACAAATGTTTATTCATGTACTCGACAGTTGTTTTAGTGTATTGTCTTGTCGCGTGTTATTCAGAGTAATCGTCTGTACTATACTATTGCATAACTTTTGACAAAGTTACTAATAGAAGTAATGGCTGTGTAGCCAAGGTCGTTCTATCTCATTCGATTCCTGTTTTGTTTTCACTTACATTCTGCAGTATCTCTGACATCAAACATGAATTAATTAAAATCTGTTTTTGCCTTACTCTGAAATGTTTTTTTAAATTATTATTATTTTGACCTGAGTTTTTAAACATCTTTTTCCAACACCATTTTTTTAAAATTTTTTTTCAAAATTAAAGAAATTAATTGTCTGTGTTCTGTGTTTTGCAAAGGATGTTAAGATTGGCTAGATACATTTAAAGCTAAAGCTGCTATTAGCTTTATCTTAGCTAATTATTTTCATAATGCTTTTAAATTTAAACCATTGTTAAATTGATCTGGTTCTAATATGTATTATATATAAATTTTAAAAATCTAATCTAATCTCTGGGGTCTCACACTATTTTGGAAATTATTGCTTGTTTATTTATTTTTCTTTATTTGCAATTTTGTTATAAGAGAGGCCTTGTTACATATTGAATTATGATGTGTTGTGCATTCACGAACCACTGATGTCTGTGTTTCAGGTGAACTGAAAAGATGCTTCTTCGACAGTTGTGCTCCAGGCTGGGATTACATCGGTCTGTGGAGAACATACACTTCTGCCTCTATGCTTCAGCCAGTTTTTCCCAGTCATGTCATCTACGTAGTTATGAATCCAAACTGTGGAATAATTCTGACTCACCTGGCCCAGGAACGCCAAGGACTTATTATTTAAATCTTTACCGGCAGAATACCTGTTTCAAACATGATCTGCCTGCTGTGGGTGGATATAAAGGTTTGTTTATGGACTCCAGGACACTCACGGACTCTAGGATTGGACAGTATCGTTTTTATTCCACAGATCTTGTGAAGTCAATACTAAAACCAACTTTAAAACCAGTGATGGTGCCTGGAAAAAGGGTTCCTAAAGGTCCAAGAACAAAACAACCTTCCAGAGCCAATCAGCCGTTAAAGGAAGACAAGGTATTTCAGACAAACATAGCGGGACTTCTGGTAAAGCGTTAAGTTTTGTGATCAAGTCAACCCCGTGGTTTCCTTCTGCAGGACATGATGCAGTGTATTGCCTTTGCAACAGCAGATCAGTATCACCTGCCAACACTTTGCCATAATTTGCTGGACGAGGGCTTCCAGGAAATTGATTTACCGAGAGGTACAGTATAAAAAGAAATCTGAATTTACTCTATGAGAGAGTATCATAATGTGTTTTGGCTGAAATTTTAGACATACTTCATGGTAAAACTTTTAATTCCAGATGCCTCGAATGTCCTGGTAATCAGCACAGACATGACTGCGAAACCAGATGATGATGCTCTCATCTACTTCTTCAGGTAGAAATGATAATTCTTCAGTCTGCCTTGTTAAAGCCTTTGTTGTGCAGTATGTGTTTGACATGGTACATTTTTAAAGCACAAATCAATATGCTTAACTATTATATTTCCTTACTGTTTTTTTCATCACAGACATGATTATTTCTGTATGTATGATTTTAAATAATGTACTTGTTATATGTGTAAATGTCAAATACATTAAATAATTATGAATAAATAAATGTGTATTAATTAAGGTTAAAAGCCTGTTTCATGTTTTGGTTATGAATCATAATGTGATTTTCAGGGAAGGAGCTGTGATTTTCTGGAACGTGGAGGAGAAAACGGTAAAAAAAATATTTTTTTTAACAACGGTCAATTCATCTTATTATTAGTATTACTATTAATATATTTCTGACAGTGGCAATCTCCTTCCAGATGAAGAAGGTAATGAGAATATTGGAACATCATGAGATCCAGCCTTATGAAGTTGCACTCGTCCACTGGGAGAATGAGGAAATCAACTACACACTGGAAGCGTACGCTGTGTTTCTAATGTCTTTTCTTTCTTTGTTTTGATTAAAGCTGTACTAAGTACTAATTCTTCTTCAGAGGAAATACTAAGTTGGAACGTGGCAACTTTATTCTAAGTGTGGAGAGCGAGCAGCATGAAGCCATTCTGGAGAAATTTGCATTTTCAAATGCATTATGTTTGTCAGGTATGAGTCTCTATATTTATTTCTATTTCTATATATATCTCTATGATTTTTATTTTATTTTTGATCACATTTGTGTTTGGGTCTGACTGGCCTTTTCTTCTCCTAGTAAAACTGGCCATATGGGAGATTTTTCTAGACAGCTTTGTGGAGTCAATTCAGTCGATTCCAGAGGTAAAGTAAATGCATTATGGTCAACAGAAAAGGATAATGAATATTTGATCATCTGTAATGGTTGTTGTTTTGTGTAAGATAGATGATGTGATGGTTTTAAAAATAACAGTGTCTCGTAATGGTTACGTTACATGTTTTTTTCTCTCCTAGACTCTAAAATCTGGAAAAAGAGTAAAGTTGTCATCTGCAGAAGTGATGCAGAAAATAGGAGAACTCTTCACCTTAAGGTACATTCATTTTCATCTTATTAGATTCTGTAAAAAGTGCATTCATTTGTGAAGGATTTTTTTCTCACAACTTTTGTCACAGCTTTTCTTGTTTACATTTTAATGTAATTGCTTATATAATCTGCTGTTATATCCCAAGGTTCTGTATAGTTGAAACTTATATTTGACATCCGTCCTGTTCCAGACACTGTATAAATCTGAGGTCTGATCTGCTCATCACACCTGACTTCTACTGGGACAGAGAAAAACTTGAAAAGCTGTATGAGAAGACCTGCCAGTTTCTCAGCATCAACCGCAGGGTCAATGTAATCAAACCTGTCCACTAACAAACTACCTGAGTGTCCCACTGTGACATCTGTGGTAAAAGACCTTTACTGTGTCTCTGTCTACAGCTGACACAGTGTGTTTTTGTGTTTCCAGGTTGTGAATGAGAAACTGGAACACTGCACACAGTTGACTGACCTTATGAGGAGTCACCTGAGTGAGAAACACAGCCTGAGGTTGGAGTGGATGATAGTCATACTCATCACAATAGAGGTGAAACACCAGTTTGTTTGTTTCCTTATTTAAAACTCTTAGACTCCTTTGAAGTATGGTTGTGATTGGAAACCATTTGAAAAGGATCAGAACTTAATGATAAAAGAAAGTTCTTTCTCACCATAACATTAGTTTCAGGTAGTCTTTAATAACATTAAATGTTGACTGTAACCCAGTTGTTTGAGATAGTCAGTGGAGTTAGAGCAGATGAACTAGGAGAGCCAGAGCTTGACTGAGGGTCAGGGATACATTACAGTTTAGTGAGTTTATTTTATACCGTCTTTGGTCAAATGTAGATGTAAAGGCGTTTACATTAAGTAATTCTGTGTCTGTTGCTTTGTTTTTCTTGCAGGTTATGTTTGAACTTGCAAAAATGATCTTCTGAACGGCACAAAGGTACATTGTCAGTAAATCCTTATTTTTGAAAAGGATAAGAAGTGAATAATTAAAGCCAAGTAAACCTGTGTAAATGTGTACATTTCAATACACAATAAACCCATGTTCCCTGAAACTTTGTCTATCTTCACATGTTGCTGTTTTAAAGTAGATTTTGCCGTAGACACCAGCTGAGATTCACTCACTTTATTCAAGTACCGTAATTACAAACATGTGAAGATAGATGAACGTGATTGAAGCGTGTGTCTTGCTCAACGATGACTTGTAACAACCCTGTTTCCTCTTCTGCACAAAGTAATGACAACATAAGGCCAGACACAAAAACCAAAAACTCTGCAATAAATGAGGACAAGTTAAGCTGCCAGTGTTAAAGTTTAAGGCTGTGCTTTTCAAAACAAAATATGAAATATACTGTATAACCTCTAGAGGTCAGAAAATATAAAAAGTCAAATATATGGTGTAAAATTAGTTCTAAAAAAAACACAAGTCATTGCTAGTCTTCAGACATTCACATGAGCACAGTGTTGCTTGTATTTGCTTTAAACAGTTTTTTTTTACAAGTTTTACAAGTGACATTACAAATTTGTGTATATATTATATCTGCTCACGTCTGCTGATGCTTTTTATCTGCATAGATAGTTTGGTTTTGCATGTAAAGCAATAAGGATACAGAGTGAATTATAGGAAACATCTACAGTTGACCACTGTACTCTCTATAAACATAAAAACCTGATCCTTTATCAGACATGAAATCATTGTTCCAATACTTTACCATATCTGTCTTTACCAGGTGATCATACAAAATTAAAAGATTGTTCATCAAAGTGATTGCCATTCAACACATGTTCATTCAGTTAGGGGTGAAATAGGTCCTAAATGAACACTCATCATTGTTAGTCCTGTTAGTCCAGACTCTTTCAACAGACTGATCTAATCTGTCAAGGCTCGAGGTCACATGACCTTGGAACCTCTGCATTAGCCATTAGAGCATTTAGCATGTTTTTTAAGGTGTAAGGCAAAATTGATTGACAGTCCATAGTCCAACTCATCAAGTTAGCACTGGTATAAACTGAGATGGTCAAGAGACACAACTGAAAAATGTATTTATCTTCCAGTGGGAATATTATGGTATAATTGTGATTGGTTGCACCATGAACTGCCTCAATTAAAAATTCATCCTGCAATATTTGCTTCATGTCACAACTCCCAATCCACCAAATACCCCAACGACCCCAAGTCCATGACTGTCAGGGTAAATAGACAAATGTGCTGTTTTCTTAATTGGTTCTTCTGTTTGACGTCTTCTTGCTTGTCCTTTAGTAAAAACAAAAGTAAATTACATTTATTAGGAGCTGAATGCATAATTCCAGTGTAAAAAAACAATTTATAATAATTAAACAAATATTCTCACCAGTCGTCGCTGGTAAATGTATTTTCAGTCGTACTCCATCACAGTGGTGTTTGTGGTTGTATTATCTAATGGTTCCAGTGCTGCAGCGCAATCTTCACCCTCGCTCTCGAGCCCTCTGTCTCCTCGTTGTCTTTCATTTTGTTTTTCCTCAGACCCAAACTCTGGAGCTTTCCCAGACCTTTGCTCAAGAAGAACATTTTCCTCAGAGTGGCTCTCTGTGTGGAGCCGTGTTGGTTCATCTACCACAGGAAGGATCGGTTCTGTCCCCTCTAGAGTGTCGATGTCTTCTTCTGCGTCCATCCACACATCCTGGTCGTTTTCCTCATCTGTGTGTTTAACAGGTTCCTTTTCTTGCGTTTCTGGTTGGGGAACTTCAGAGATTTCTGGAGTCTGGAACACAACGCTTTGCTCCATTTGCAGAACTGTTTCTGTCACTTGAGAATGTTTTAGTACACTTTCACTGGGTTCAGTTTGTTCCTCTGGTTCTACTGTTTGCATGCCAACATCCAAAAGTACTACAGACTGAATGACGGGTTCTCTTGGATCAAGGTTCTCTAGCACTGCTATTTCTGTTCCCTGAAGTGGGAAATCTACCACTTCAGCTGTTTTCTGATTTACTCCTGGTACTATTTCAGGTTCCACAGCCTGAACACCAACATCAGACACATCTGTCTTTTTCACTCTGTCACCTCTCTCCAGTGTAGGTGGTGGAGAAGTCTGTTCCTTTGTCTGTGCAAACTGTATGTTGAGTTTGAACTCCAATGACAGACTGGAGGGTGACTCTACGCTTCCCAGAGATGAGAGTATTCCTGTGTTTTGGGGGATTACTAATCCAGAGTTTGGTGTTAAAATCTGACTTTGTTCGATGTTTGGAACTTCTTTGGTTATTGGTGACGGCAGCTTGATCTGTTCAGTTACCACATCAACTTTAGACTTTCCATCAGTGCTAGGTTCTGCTGATTTGTCTTTGTTCTCATGGAATGAAACCTCTGACTTTTCTGGGCGATCTGGAGATTTTCTGAGATCCTTGGATTCTTGATGTTCAGCTGCAGTTTCTTTATTATCTGTTGCAGTGTCCTCCATAATGCTTTTGTCTTCTTGTTCAGTGAACTTTTCTTTGGCGATATGTTTAGTTTCTGTGTCTGCCTCTTTCAGAACCTCTTGTTCCCCGTGGAAAGTCATTGATTCGTGTTGTAGTTCCTGCTCAGTAAACTCATGAACGATCAGTGATCCTTCTTCAATCGTTGCCTCAGTTCTTACCGTGGCACAGAGTTCTTCGACTTCATCTGCCGTCTCCTGACAAACATCTATAACAGCCGTGGTTTCTGTGATGCAGACTTTGACCACTGCGTCCACAGTCTCTTCAGCAGATTCGGCATCAACCTCCTCCACTTGAACTTGAATTTGATGATTATCCTCAAATTGTACTAGAGGTAAATTCATAATGACGACACTACAGTCTTCTGTTGCAGACGTAGCTGCTGCAGCTTCAACATCGTTTGCACAAAGTGTCGTCTCTTCTTTGATCTCAGCATGCTTTACCTCGAGACTTGGAGGTTCAATTTTTCCTTGGAGAACATCAGGTTGAGTTGATTCGATTTCTGATTTGGAATCCTCCTCGGTTAATTTTTCTTCTTCAAATTCTACAGAAAGAACTTCAACTCTTCCAGTATCTACAAATGACGACGTGGACACTTGTGCTTTTGGTTGTGTTTCTAGAGGTTGGACATCTGTAGTGGTGTCTTCTGTTGATATTTCTGGCTCATTATCGCCTTCATCAGCCAGCGTGATTTCAACCGTAACAGTTTCTATCTTTGGAGGTTCTTCTGTATTTGATGTTTGAGCACAGCCATCATCTAAATCAGTCATTTCTCCTTTTGGAGCTTCTAAAGCCTCCGATTCAGTTTCAGCACTTTCTTCTGGTTCACGGGTTATAATGTGAGGCTGTGTCTCTTCTCTGGGTTCATCTGAAACCTCTTCTGTCTTTGCAGTAGATTCTGACAAAACCTCTTTTTCAGAACCTTCCTGCATATCGAATGTGTGCTCTTGCACGACCTCTTTAATGTCTACTACTTTATAGTCATAACTTAAAGTATCTGCAGTCTGGTCTGCTCGATCTGAAACAGTTCCCACTGCAGTGATGTCTTCAGGTACTTCCACTGCTTGCGATGTTAGAACGCCACACTCTTCTGCAGTCACTGACATGGCTGCTTGTCCCTCTTCTAACACCTCATCATAGTGTACATCATCACTTTTTGTCTCTGTCTTTACCTCCTGCTCACAGTCTGTTTTCACCTGTGATGTCTCTATATCTGTTTTCTGTGTTTGGACCTCTTCTAATGTATCTTGCCTTTCGATCATTAGTTCTGTGATTGTTCCAAGCTCTAATGTAGATGTTAGAAGAACTTCAGCAGTTACAGTTTGATCAGCATCTTCTTGTTGCTCTGCCTCCGTCTGAACATCATTTTTAGCTAACGGCTCAGATTCCCTCAAGGGCTCGACTATATCTGTCTCTTCCACTCCTACTATATCTGTTGCTTTATTTTTAGATATCTGATCAATGTTGTCTACGTCGAATGTGTCAGTTTGCACATCTTCTACAACGTCTGGTTCTTCAGGAGGTTCCAACTTTGCAGCGTCTGTTTGTAGACAGTTTTCTCCCTGTACCTCAGTACTATTTTCAAGGAGAACTTCCGATTCATCTTTGGACTTGTCTGTAACAGATTCTTCAGCTGGAATATCTTCCCATATCTCATCTTTTTCCAGCATTTGACTGCTGGCCACCTTTGAATCTGTGTTGTTAGTCAGAGCAGCTTCTAAGATTTCAGGTTCTTCACTGGGTTTGGTTTCAGCAGTTTCTACATTAACTACGAGTTTTGTCTCTTCTTTGGCAAAGCTTTCGCTGACAGGCTCTGTTTTTTTACTTTGGTCTATATTGGATTCTTCTTCTGGTGCATCTTCAGTTCCTTTCAGTTTGAACAACATCGTACTTTCTTCCACTAAATCCCCCACAGCTGTCTGTGAAGATACCAATTCCAATTCTGATTCTTCAGTTTGTGCAACAATGTTGTGTGTTTTATTTTCCTTCCCTGCATCGACAATTCCAGTGAATTCCACTTCCTCTCTCGGTCGTACCGCATCTGTAACTTCTACAACATCTTCAGTGTCGTTCTCCTCATCTGACTCTCTGGTTGCATCTTGTTTTTCATGATCTTCCTGTGACTCCTCCTCTTCCTCTGGTGGCTGATCTCTGTTCTCATCTTGGATTTTGTCCATGTCATTTTGGAGGATTTCCGATGCACCTTCATCTTCATCTTCTTCTACTTTCTTATCCAGTTCTGCTCCTCCAGAGTCTATGTTCACATCATGAGGGCCCTCTTCACGATAACCCTCCTCTGCAACAATCAAATTAACTTCTACTTCTGTCTCTGTATACTCAGCTTCGGTTGCGTCAGTAGTTTCCATGTTGTGGTTGCCTCCAGCTGGACATGAAACACTCGCCTCATGAACTTCATCTGCAGAAATATCAGCGCTGACGAACTCCTCAGTTGGAACTTCCGATGTTATTTCTGTGGACATGACCTCTTTGACTTCGGAAATGCTTTCTGTTTGTGTCGTTCCTGCCAGTTCACCGTCCCATTCCACTTCTTCAGCACTGAGGCCGGTGATGATGGTTGTCACGTCACTTCTTCTGTGTATTTCCAGAAGCGTCTTTTCCTCTTTGACACATTTTTCTAGTACTCTCTGCGTGATGGATCCTGCTATCCTTTCTGGACTGATATCCTCTGAAAACAGCGGTTCTGTTCGTGGGCTCATGGTGAAGGTTTCTACAACCTGGTGCAGGATCTCCTCTGTGTCCTTAATGTCACTGTCTAAGAGGACTGGTGTGATGTTTCCAGATGTGTGTGAGGAGTGTGTGAGCTGCGAGACTGCAGAGACCATCTCAGTTTCATCTACTGGCTCTGGAGCAGTGATGGCCTCAGACGTGATCTCTATCACATCTTCTGCTATCGTGTCGTCTCTAACTACCTCTTCTATGTCCACTGTCTCTGTGATTATTCCTTCCTCTGGAATATCACTGAGCAGTTGATGAGTGCTGATACTTTCTGTGACTTCCTCTGGCTCTTCCTTCGCAACAGCAGTTGTGGATACCGTGCTCTTCATGTTGTTCTCAGTGTCTTGAACTTGAAGGCTGTCGGTGGGTATGATCGGCTTGGTCATTGGATCAATATCCTGCTGTGGTTCTGTGGCTAGTTCTTTAGGTAGAGGACTTGTCTGTTCGTTGTCTGGTGTTTTAATGTGAACTTCTGCTTCGACAATTTCAAACTCAGAGAGTGGAACCACAGCTGGTGTCTCTGAATCCTCGTCTTCTGAGGCCTCTTCTTTATCAGCCTCATCTGAAGATGCTAGGTCTTGATTGACGACAGACTTCTTTTTCTTTCGTCCAGAGAGAAACGTCTTTATTGAGAAGGACGACTCATCGTGTGCTGTTTCATTGTCAGACAGAACGTTGTCTTTGTCCTCTTCGTTCCTGACCTTCTTCTTTGGAGTGACCAGTTTTTTAAATGACTTCCAGGTCGATCCTCCTTCATCGTCCGAGCTCTCTGTCTGTTTTGACGATATGGATGGAGTTTTAATGACCTCGTTAGATCTTTCCAGTGGCATCTCTTGCTTTTTATTTTCATTTTCTGTCGGCGGTGTTTCGTCCTCAGAGTCTGATGTTTTTCTGCTTCGGTTCTTCTTCCCTGATCCGCACAAAACAGCTTCCCAGGACACGGATGAATCCTTCCGTTTTGATTTTCCTTCTTCTGTACTTTCATCCGATATCTGCTCTCCTTCACTGCGTTTCCTTTCCCCTTCTGATCCTGGGACTTTTGTCTCCCCGTTGGTCAATGACGACTTCTTGACGTTCTTTTTAGGAGTGAGGAGCTTCTTGAAGGAGACCCATGCACTTTCCTCCTCCACTGCTGCTTCTAGAGAAGGTTGGCTTGGACTTTCTCCATCTTTCTGATTATCAGCTGGTTTTGCTGGCATCATCTGATCTGATGAGTGTTCACCAGAGTCTGAGATCCTGTCAGTACTAGACCTCCTGCTTCTGGGCTTTTTTGAGTGTTTCTTCAAACTAGAGCTTGAGAACAGTCGTCTGAAAGGACTCTCTTGGACTTTTTCTTGAGAGCTTAAGATTTCAGGCTGATTGACAGTGGCTGCCGATGATGCACCGGTGGTTTCGTTTTTGCACGCCGTCTCATCGTTAGCGGCATCGTCATTTAAAACACCAGTGTCTTTAATCTGTTGATTAACCCCGGTTTCTTCTTCTATCTCTTCTGTTTCTTTGTCCGTCTCAACTAACTCTTTCTCTATTGGCTCTTCCTCTGTGGATTTCTTTTTCTTCCGTAGCCCTGAAAATATCCCAGTGGTAAAAAACCTTTTAACTGGAGACATGACCTCCTCTGGCTCAGGACTGGATGAAAATGTCTGATTCTTATCCTCCTCAGGTGAAGGTTCTTCTTGTGCCTTTTCCTCCTCGGTCTCAGGTGAAGTGGCTGCTGTATCTACACAGTCGGACTCTGCTTCTTCTTTGGTCTGTGATTTTGTTTCCCTTGTATTTTCTAGAATGTCCTCAGAGGTGCCGTCTGACATTGTCGGACATGTTGTGGAATCATTGTCACAGTGTGTGTACAGATCGATATTCTGCGGAGCCTGATCGCTCGTAGTTTCCTTTGCAGTTCTGTTGATTTCTTCTGGACTGTCGGGTTCCTTCTCGTCTGAACCTCTGTTAACGGTCAGTTTTAAACCAATGTTACTGAAGAGTTTTCTAAAATTGTCGTTCTGCTTTGCGTCCATTTCAATGATTGTCAGGGGTTTTTCTTCTTCAGCTTCATCAGATGATTTCTTCTCATTTATATCAACATTTTCTAACGCTCTCACTTCTTCCTTTGGTTGTTTTGTTTCTGAAACATCTCCATCTGAAGCAGAAGAGATGGGAAATGTAATAAAGTAGTCATAAAATAAAATTTAAAAAAGTCTTCTAAAATGAAACACACTATCCATCTGTTTGAATCAGACTGACAGTGAGCTGCTTTACTGTCAGTACCCACCCTCAGTCATTTCCCCGTCCTGATGACCATGGGCTCCTGCTCCTTTAGTGCTGTCTGCTTTTCCATTGATCTCTGGGATGAAAAAAGGCTGAAACACAGTTGAAAAACATCAAAGTGCAGGATCCAAAACTAAAATGGTAATTTTTTTTTCCCCATTTCAAATGTTTCTCTGTCTAATTTGCAATCAGACATACATATCTGAAGAGGTGATGTCAACATGGAACACTTGTCCTTTAAAGGTGGTGGAGAAATTAAATTGATTGATTGATTTAAATGAGTCTTGTGGCTGGCCTGTGTCACAAATACCAGTCTTGTTCAGTCAACAACAAAGCTCTTCCTCTCAACCAGGATTTTAGTGGTTTTTTGTGCCGTCATCACCTGTCGTTTTCCAGTTCCATGTCTGGAATCATTTCATACCTTTTGTTTACCTTACACAGGACCTTTATTTTTGTAGCCCATTGCCGTCTAATTGACTTCCTGCTCAGCATGAGCCAGTGCTAATGTCTTACACAAATAATCGATGTTGCTTCAGCTGAGTGCAGTGAAAGGGAAATTCCATCTCCCCCTGGGATTTACTTCAGTTCCTCGAGGAATGAAAGGTCATTATTCCTCCATGAGTGTTTCTCATTTCTATCTGCATTACTGTACATAAAAAACCACTGCAGCAACACAGCCTCAGAATACAAACTGCAAGTCAGCATGGACGCAGCCCTTCACTGTTTCCTGGAGCTCATAAAAATCAAAACAATGAAGATGTTTCGTCTTCTTTTCAACTGTTTGGCTAATTGTTTTGCTAACTGACTTGGACCTAAAGTATTTCCAGGTGAATTTGTTATGTTTAAGTTTATCATGTTTTGTTAGCTTTTAAAAAACATACTTTACTGACTGATGGCTAATTTCAGTCTATATAATGGAAGAACTTGAATTAAAGCTACATTTTAGTTGTAGTTTTCAGTACTTTGGGAACTCTTCTAACCTTAAGTTGTTTCTGTGGTAACTTTTTACAAAACTGAAAACTACCTACACTACCTTCAAAAAAAGTGAAAACGTTTTGGTTCCACCACGTGCTCCTGTTGCCATGGTTGGGAAATATGATCATCACATTTATATAAAAAAAGGTTTCTAAGCAAACAAAGCTAAAACAAAAGCTACACAACAACACAGTTCATAACATGTGCAGGTAGCCATCTTTGTTTTCAACTAGAGCCACAACCTCAGAGACTGCTGTGGAAATGGCTGTAGGTCTCCTACACTGTCTTTGACAGTAGAAGTAACTGGGAAGTGACATTATTTAAAACCTACAATCACAAATAAAGTGTATTTAAGGCTCTTTTGTTTTAATAAAATACATATAAACACATGGTACAAATAAAAACAAAGACCAGAAGTTATAAATAGGTGGAGGTAGAACTGAATGGATGCAGGACTTTTTGACTATCTTGGCAAACATCAGCTGCACTGTCCTGATGCACCCTCAGCATTTAGTGACCCGCAGCCAGACTTAGCCACCAGAACAATCTGACAGTGTGTGACTGCAGACAGAGAGACATAAGCTAACACAGAGAGAGAGAGGTGATGGATACAGTGTCTGCAGTCAAATGGAGTTCATTGAAGAGAGAGTCAGTTTAAAAGAGAAAAATAATAAAGACCTTATCTTCAGCGTTCAGTGGTGCAGGAGCATCCTCCACCCTCCCGCTCTCCTCCTCCTCCTCCTCCTCCACCACAGCCTCTCCATCCCTCCTGCTCTCCCGTTGTGCAGACTGAGTGTCTCCCATGATGCTCGGTGCAGCGCCTCAGTGTCCTGACGGAGCTTTTGTAAATTTCCTCCAGGAGAAGAGGCGAGAGACTCTGACAGCAGCTGGGAAAGCTCTTTTAGACAAACATCCCTCCTCCTACTCCTCTGCCTCCTTTCTCCTCCCTCCTCTTTCTCCCTTTCTCTCTGCAGAATCACATAGAGCTTCAAAGTCCAATCTCTGGCCCAGCCTGGATCAACCGGACCAGTGATGGCACGCCTCCTACTGCATTAGACCAGAGACAGGAGAGGGGGGAACTGCAGAGAGACTGAGACTGTCTGCAGATGACTGAACCAAAGAAGTAGATGATATCAGTACACATCAACATCTCTTTTACAATACGGCCACAGTCAACTAAAAATATGACTTTCTATGCATTTAAAACTGTATTTAATTATTTAAATGCTTAAATTATGATTTATTTGCTGATAACTTTGCTGATGTTTGACTTTTTGTGTTCACTTTTAGTTTGTGGACACATTATTACAGCTATCTTTGCTTTACATTTTAGAACTTTCTCACCTTTTGGTGCCTAATTTGTGCGAGTTTTGACAAATTTTGTAGGTATGTTTGTTCTACACAATTAGGTTTATTTTTAGCCTTTTGTTTTATTCTTGGCTAAGCCTTTTTTCTTTTGCCAAACCCGTGGCCACTGGCCTGTGTTGTTGTCTACTTTAAGGTTTTTTAACTTAACTTGCGGCAAAAATGTTTGTGTTTTCTGTAAACGCTCAGCTGCCCTGGACAGTTTTCCAGTTCATTATTGGACCACATATACTATAGAGTGGTGCTCTTAAACTTCTGGCCTGAGGGCCAAATACAGCTCATGAAGTTGTCACATCAGGAGATGTAGATCAGGTGCAGAAAGTTCATTTCTATAGTTTATATTCAAAGGATATCAGCATGAGCACAACGCAGAAAAGCACGAAGCACAAGGAACCTGGAGCATGGACACAGTTCCTTATAATGATAAAAATACTGCAAAAAAAAAAATCAGCTGGACCTTCAGTGTTTCTGGTCAAACTGATGACACTGTGGGCAGCATTAGGACAAGTTTCTTCTTTTAGAAGTTTGCTTCAGGTCATTGTGTAATTTGTTTATTTAATATAAATACACAGAATAAGTTCCAGTCCTTGGACCTAAATGTCTTTTAAAAATAACCAATGAAGCAAATGCTATTACATTTCCTCGGCAATTACAGCGGGAGGAAAAATCTAATGTCTGTTTGCTCGGGCTGTAACAGAGTTGACTGTGTGACTGTAGAATGAAGTTGCAGAGAAGGTTTGTACTGACACCAGGTATTTAATGGAGGAAGGGAATGAAAATAGTTCAAAGATCTGACATTATTTTTTTCTTCCTCATAAACCCTAACAGTTCCAACAGGATTCTCCTGAAACTGTTTTTCAAGCAGAAGTCAGAACTGTACATTTGACTGACAAATGACTTCAGTAATCCCATTATCACGAAGGTGAACGTGAACCACGACTAACTCTGAAGGGATGGTGGTGAGTCAGTCTCATGAGTTAAGTCACCCATTCCTTCAACTAATATATTTATGTCATTGCAGATGGAACATCAGATGGACCGACCCTCCGCAAACACACGCCTGTTTTTGGTCTTCTGTAGTTTGTAACGCACAGGTGAACTCTTGAGTTTTCACTTGTTCCACATGTTTATTTTTATATATATATATTTATATAAATATATATATGTTTATATATATATTTATAAATATTTTTATTTTTATATATTTTATATATATATCACTTTCCCTCAGATACATGCAGTGGGGCTTCGAGATACGAGCTATCCAAAATACGAATTTCCAAGTTACCAGTAAGCAAGTACTGCAAGATTTTCCTTGTGATACAATTATTGATTATTGTTTTTTGTTTTTTTTTGGGGGGGGGGGTTAATTTAATTAATTAATAGTATATTTCTCTGCGGGTGGTACGAATTAATTGGTATTTATTATTATTTTTAACAGGAAAATTGCAATAGAAATACGAGTGCTGTTGTGGAACAGAGTAGACTCGTATCTCGAGGTTCCACTGTATTTTAATTTAACTATGGTGTTCCACAAGGTTGAATGTTTGGCCCTATATTGTTTACTTTATACATGCTCTCTGTCTGTACTTTTGTCACAAATATATGTCGGTATATATATATACTGTATATATATATATATATTTATATATATGTATATATAGTTATATATATATATACATAAATAAATATGGGGTTTAATATAGACATTGTACTTTTTAGACTTTTGCAGTACCATCAAAAACAGACTGAGGGCCAAACTTTTGGAGTCATCCTGGACTAGTGACCAACATGAACGTCACCTTCATCCACCACAGGACACACTGAGTTGTGGACGCCCTCAGGTTGCACTGACCCTTCAGCGGTGATGAGTCACTGGATCCTTGGGACCTTGGGAAAACTTGGAGCTGGGAACCATTTCCAAACCCATGACAGACATCTATGTTAATCTGATCAAATGCTTGAGAAACACTGCTGCTGTTCTGTGAGCCTGACTGCGACGCTAACGACTTGAATTAATTCAAGTCACAACTTTGGGTAAGTGAAAACTGCTGATGTTTTTTCCAACAACTCACAGCAACCAAGCTGCTGAGATCTGATGCAGCAAATTGAAGGTGACACACAAGGGGGCATGTGGGTGGGTGGGTGAGGGTGTGGGGGGAGTGTGAGTCTGGTTGGGTCGTGTTGCACGTGTCGTGTCGGCTGTGTGCTTGTGGAAGAGAATGAAATCGCGTTAATGTTTCACTTCATAATTTACCGAAGATTCTTGGGACTCTGTTGTCTGTCATCAAGGTAAAATCACAGTAGTTATAAATAATCTCCAGATCCAACTTTAAAATCTATTTACATTTAGGTGTTATCTTTTGTATTTTACAATAATTTTCAAAAACAACTCTAGATGTTTTGACTGTATGTGTGGCTGCGGTGGATCCACGTCACCAAAATCACTGATTTTATGTGCGTGAGCAGTTCACAAACAAAATCCTAAATATTTTTAAGATATTTAAGAACTTGGAGTGTTTGGAACTTGTTTGTTTCCCCACTTTTGCCAGATTGTTTCCTTTGAACTGACCACGTCTGTATCTTGTGTTCAAAACACCTGCACTGCCCCTTTAAACTTTTAGTTTAAGCGTAATTGTTTGTTAAGTCCATGTCCTTCAATCATGAAGAAAAAAAAAAAGATTTAAAAGGGAAACTTTTGTCCCTTTGTCCACTTTACTGTTGAAAATAAGAAGCTGGTTCATGTCTGGCTCTGTCACGTGATTGGTTGGTTGATATCAGGGGTGAAAATGTGCTGCTTCAAAGTAGTAACAGAACAGACTGTTGTCCAGGACTTTGGGCTGAGTTACATAAGACTGCTGTGTTCTACTGGCACGTTCTCCATCAGTTCTGCTCAGAGGTTCCAGTGTGTGTGTGTGTGTGTGTGTGTGTGTGTGTGTGTGTGTGTCTTTGTCAGAGTGAAGGCCAACTTAGATCACATGAAATCTCAGGAGAAACCAGTTCTGAAACTCACGCAACCCTGTTTTTTTTGTCTGCCAAATCGGAACCAGCTGACTGACGGTCAGGGACTGATGAAAGGTGGAACCCTGCTGCGGTCATTTTACTTGGTACCGTTTAATGCTCTAAAAAAGTTTTAATAACAATACATTTAATAATAATACACATACATCTAAGTTAGGGTCTGTTAAATGAAACGTAAATTATTTTTAATTTTAATTTAAAAAATGAGAACAAAATAATAATTGTTATTTAGTTTATACAGTTTAAAATTTTTAATTAAAATTTAAAAATAAGAACATTTTTAAAGCGATGTTCTTGATTTGAATTTACAGTAAGTTGTTGCTGCCTTAAAAATGATTGGCCGTCTTCTGCTGGACAATATGTAGTACTACATTATAGTACACAGTTATATGGCTTGTGATCGTTGTTAAATGTGTAAAAAGCAACGAAAACAAAGCATTTTAAGTATTGACAAAATTGAATATATAAACAGGTGAAGCAGGTCTGCATATAATCCGACATTAATCTGTGTAAAAACTCATACAAGGCAATGCCTCAGAATACTTGCTATTGAACTGATTTCTTTTACTTTGTGCCTATATTTTATTTGTATCATTTTTCTTTAATTTGTATTTATTTAGTCACTCTATTTTTTTGTTTTTAAATTCACTTCTGTTTTAAGTTTTACATTAAAAACATCTGCCCCACAACACATCAATCGATAAAAAACGAAAAAACCTAAAGTATTTCACTAAAAGTAACTTAAAATATAACTCTCGTCTCATGAAATCCCGCCATGTGCTGTGGTTGACCCAACGGCCAGATTTTGGCCACACCATTTGTTAAGCTAACTGTTGAAACCTCTTTAACTGTTGTGGTCGGTGACTCAGACTGATGTGAGCTGAAGAAGACGTTTAAACACACACGCACACACGCACACACGCACACACGCACACACGCACACACGCACACACGCACACACGCACACACGCACACACGCACACACGCACACACGCACACACGCACACACGCACACACGCACACACGCACACACGCACACACACACACACACCCACACACACACACACAGACACACACATACACATGCTGTAGTCAGTGTAGTCAGTTCTGCTTTCACACACGTGCTGTGACAGTTGATGTTTTCACTCCCACAGCTCCACTGTGGTTGGTTTGACTTCTGGAACTTCCATCTTCACCAGCGTGTGGCAGTGACGCAGCAGATTGATTTCATCATTTTCTCTCACAAACAAAGCATTTTCTCTGTCCTCCTCTGAAGACGGAGACATAGCTGAAATAGTTTCACTCACTTTTGACGTCAGGTGTCCGTCTGTCGTGATGCTAGCCTCTGATAGCAACACAAATATTTATCTTTTCATTGACTTTGTAACTTAATTTACCTGAAAATGAATATGTTTTTAGACATGAAAAAATGTCACTCTAAAGAAAAAACATTTAGTTGGAAGAAATAAATGTTCATACATTGACATGAACTTAAACGGTGCGATGCTACTTTTACGACACTCACTGTGTCCATGTGACTCCACAGGAATGTAGAAAGTTTAGTTTCCAAGAAAAAAAAACAAAACAAAAACAAACGTTACCTGTTATATTGTGGTATCAGTGATCGCTGTCACACATTCGTCTGGATTTCTATGATCAGCCTGTGCAGCAGAAGGTCAGTTAATCAAATCTTTTTGATGGTTGTCCTTGATTCATTTATTAGAGAGAAGAAATTCCACTTACATGTGATTAAAAACTTCCTGGAAGGAAAAAAGGGATTAAATGTTCCCGTCTGAGATTACCTGAGAAGTACGTTTTTGTGACGACTGTACACAGCGATCACAAAGGTTTTTTAACGCCTTCATTTCTTCTGTAGAATATTGTGTGCTGATCACCAGGACCAGCACAATGAGAGCTCAGGTCTCATGGTAAAACAAAAACATGGTGAGGGTCATGGACGTGGGAGAAGTCGTTTGTGATTCAAACCAGTTTAGAGGAATGACCGTAAATCAGCACTGATCTGTGAAACCAATCATAAAAAATGTTTGAACGTTCCTAAAAAATATAGAGATTGGACTTTGGGACAATGTAAAGATGTAATGTGACCTCATAAATAGAGATTTTAGCTTCTGTTGACAATTTCTCAACACTAATGTTATTGCTTTATTATGTAATTATAAAAATAGAATAAATATTTCAGGAAATGGAAAAAATGAATCTAATGTTGATAAAGTTGTTTTTTTTTTTAATACAGATTTTTGTTGCAGAACATGTTCAAAAAGTTAATAGCGCTGAACTCTCTTATAAAAGAGGTTTATTGACATTCTCCTCCTGTGTTAATATTTGTGGTTTAAATCGTGACCTGCTGAAACACATCACTAGGCCGTCACAGTTTCTGTCAAAATATTCTAGATACATCTTGATTGTTCTCTACGGTTGTGTTCCTCCCAGACATGAGAGACAGACTGAAGAACCTTCATCATGAGCAGATCGACTCAGAAGGTTTCAGCACAGTGGAGCTGGACAACTTCTCAGAGCAGGAAGCTGCAGCAGAGTCCAGCCAGGAGCTGGATGGTGTCCTGCAGGAGGCCCAGCAGATACGTCTGGAGATCCAACAGATCCAGAACGATGTCAGTGACCTGAAAGATGTCAACTACCAGACCTTGAACAAGACCACATACAGCTGTGAAACAAAGAGGGACTCCAACGCCATCAGCGGGGACATCAAACGCAGGACAGAAGATGTGCTGCGACGGCTGCATATGATGAATGCTCTCAGAGGAGAACTTGAGGTCCAGCGTGGAGCCGCTGACCCCACAGCCCGCATCGCTCGAACACAGTACCAGTGTCTGAGCAGCACTCTGCAGCAGGTGATGTCCAACTACAACGACACAGAGTTGAACCACAGAGAAGCGTGTAAACGTCAGATCCAGAGACAGATGGAGGTGGTGGGCAGGGATGTGGGTGAGGAGGAGCTGGAGGAGATGATGGAGAGCCAGGAGTTGCAGGTCTTCAGTGACCAAATGACGGGTAGAACCACCCGCTCAGCTTTACTAGAGATCGAGAATCGGCACAAGGAGCTGCTGGAGTTACAGAAGAGAATGGAGGGTATCCAAGATCTGTTTCTGGACGTGGCTCTGCTCGTGGAGGAGCAGGGTTCCATAATACAGAACATCCAGCAGAATGTTGAAAAAACAGAGGAGATCGTTCAAGCTGGAACAGTCCACCTGGAGGGGGCGACATCATCTGACAAAAACAACCCCTGCAAGAAGCTCTTCTGTGGCTGCCTGCCCTGTTACTACAACTAATTTTGATGATGATGATGATGGTTCACAGTAATGTTATCACGTATTTTCCAACTGATTTAGTGTATAATGTTTACACTGAACATTGTCTACACTATGAGGTGAGTAAAATTGTCTCCATTATTTTGTTCTTAATTCAAATAAAAAGACTATATATGTGCCACTATTCACCTTTTCAAATAGGGCAAATATTATTTTGGGAATTTATTTTCAAACATTTTTGTCCATTTATTTTTTGAACATGAAAACACAAAATGTCTCCCTCTCCATTGCAAACTTAAGTTATCAGAAACATGAAAACATGTAATGGGATCGTAAGTCAGCCAAAAATAAGTTTAAAAATGTCTTAATATACAAAGGTTTAAAAAATTTATCACAAATGCCAAACATAGTAAATATATTACTGCAAAATTCGCCAAAAAGAATTTTTCTAAAATTATTTTCATGATGCTCTTATTTGACGAGAAACATGCAAAAAAGATAACATTTTGAAAAATATTTTTCCAAACATTTTTCATGAAACTTTTTCACCATTTGATGACCACATGCAAAATTTGGATTCTACTGAAAATTACCAAAAAACATTTATTTCTATTTTTTTTTAAAAAACAAACACCTTTTTCTGATGAGAAACTTGCAGAAAAGATACAATTTTGAAAATTACTTTTCCAAAGATTTTCATTCACCATCTGACTATCATATGCAAAATTTGGATTGTTCCAAAAAATACCAAAAAACTGAAAATCTGAAAATGCTCTAATTTGTTGAGCAACATGCAGAAAAGATAAAATTTTGAAATTTATTTTCCAAAATTTTTCATGAAAAATTTTCACCATCTGACCACATAGCACGCAAAATTTGGATTTTACCAAAAAATTCTCAAAAAAAATGTTTTTCTAAAAGATTCCTCAAAATACTGTAGTTTGATGAGAAACATGCAGAAAAGATAAAATTCTTGAATTTTATTTTCCAACATTTTTCACCATCTGACCATAAAAGCATGCTAAATTTGGATTCTACCAAAAATTTCTCAAAAAATTTTTTTTCTAAAAAATTTTTCAAAATACTGTAGTTTGATGAGAAACATGCAGAAAAGATAAAATTCTTGAATTTTATTTTCCAACATTTTTCACCATCTGACCATAAAAGCATGCTAAATTTGGATTCTACCAAAAATTTCTCAAAAAATTTTTTTTCTAAAAAATTTTTCAAAATACTGTAGTTTGATGAGAAACATGCAGAAAAGATAAAATTCTTGAATTTAAAAAATTAAAAAAAATTTCTAAAAAAAAAAAA